AAACATGAATCAATAAATTACTTACTTAAAATAAAATTCTGAAACAGACGAAAGGTAATTAGATACATATGAAAAATTAAATTACTTACATGAAATAAAAATCTGAAACAGATAAAAATTAATTAGAGAAACATAAATCAATGAATTACTTACATGAACAAAAATCTGAAACAGACAAAAAGTAATTAGACAAACATAGATCAATGAATTACTTACTTGAAATAAAAATCTGAAACAGACAAAAATTAATTAGACAAACATAAATCAATGAATTACTTACATGAACAAAAATCTGAAACAGACAAAAAGTAATTAGACAAACATGAATCAATAAATTACTTACTTGAAATAAAAATCTGAAACAGACGAAAGGTAATTAGACACATATGACAAATTCACTTACTTACATAAAATACAAATCTGAAACAGACGAAAAGTAATTATATAAACACAAACCAATAAATTACTTACTTGAAATAAAAATCTGAAACAGACGAAAGGTAATTAGACACATATGACAAATTCACTTACTTACATAAAATAAAAGTCTGAAACAGACGAAAAGTAATTATATAAACATAAACCAATAAATTACTTACTTGAAATAAAAATCTGAAACAGACAAATTGTAATTAGACACATATGAAAAATTAAATTATTTACATGAAATCAAAATCTGAAACAGACAAAAGTAATTAAGACTGAAAATTGAAGGAACAAGGAATGAAATCTCCCTTCATTTGAAACGAAACTCTTCGAAAATCGAAATCGTAGATTTTGAAAACCTTCAAATCCGAAATAAAATTACGATTTTGAAAACCTCAATTCCGAAATAAGAAGACGAACAGATTCAGAACTCTCAAATCTGAAATAAAACCCTCAAGAAATTAAAAACTTCAATTCCGAATTGAAAAGATGAGGTGATCCAAAAACTTCGAAACTGAATTGAAAAGATGAGGTGATGCAAAAACTTCGAAACTGAATTGAAAAGATGAGGTGATCTAAAAACTTCGAAGCTCGAAATAATATTCACGCATGAAACGAAAGAGAAAATGAAACGAAAGTACAAGTATTAAAAACCAATGAAATAATAAAGTAAGACAGGGGAAAAAATAAAATAGTGAGGAGGCTTGGAAACTTAGAAGCAAGGAATAAAACAGCGAAGAGACTTGAAATCTGCGGAAGCGAAAAATAAAATCATTTAGAATTTGAAAAACTCTATGATCCCACGACGAGACGAATAAGTCCTGCATCCTGTACTCACATTTTCACACACTCACGCATACTAAAATACTGAAAGCCTTAAATGTGCCTTTTGTTCTAAAATTGTATAATGTAAAATTTTGTAAAGAAAAGTGTTAAAGTGTTAAAGTTCTTCGAACTTTCTTCTAAGTTTCGAGCAATTGGCAATAAAAATAATAGGCTATTACTACAAGCTAATATGTAACAAGTTAAAAAATTGTCGTAAAGATGAGTGCAAGTTAGAACAAAAGGCACTTACAATTTGCGACAATTTGCGCAA